AAATTGTTCACATGTTATTCCAAGAGATTGCATAAATTATCTGCTGGCCAAATCAATAAAATGTTAATAAAAGCTGGGATTTGCAATTTTCTTTCATGTGAGAAGGAGAGCTGGCGGTTCACCTGATGTTAAGTGATAAGTGCCAGCCATGGACATTTTCAACACCAGTATGGTAGCAAATGCATTGCAACTTTTCAATAAAGTAAGCCCCGGCAAAAGAACTATAATAGGTGCTTCTACTTCATGCCACTCAGAAGGACATTTCCCCCAAACAAATAAGATATGGGGCTCTCATCTCACTTACAAATGGCTACACAAAGGTATGAAGACCAAACTTACCAATTTCAAAATCTTAGTTTGCAAAAATGTGGAAATGTTAAAAGAAACAAATGTGAAGAAAAAAGTAATTTGTTAACAACCATTCCCAAATACAAAGTGTTGTATAAGTACTAAAGCCTTTTAAGTCAATTAGTGATATTTACAAGTATTTCAATGGCAAAAGTTTCTGGATGGTTTCTTTAAATATCAGTAGAAGTAAGCATCTTCTCATGTACTCAACCAAATTTCACTTTATATAATTTAGGAATGGTCAATAATTTTGTTGTCAATATGACAATTCTGCTCATATTTCTAGGTGGTCATAAAAAAAAGCACTAAGGCCTGAACTTTCTAACCTAATGTAACCCAGTCGGATTTGCTCTGTGTCGGTTCTGTGACTCATTAAATTAAAATAGTCGAACTATCGATATGAGATGACATCATATGTCGCCCGCTTCTTATATTTATCATGTTGGCAGTACTCTGCATTGAGTTTTTGAAGTCAAATTAATAAAATGATGGACTTTCTTAGTGAAAATAACAAGTTTTAAATATTTTTTCTTGAAAACTATAAACAACCACCAAATTCTGCTTGTTGGTTAATTCATTAGTGATTTTTCTCTATTGTTTGAAATTTATTTTTGATTGAATTACGGCAACATAAAAGTTATTTACATTTGCCATTAAAATTTGTTAGAAATATTATAAAGAGTTCATGTTTACAAATGCCTCCCAAAAAGCTAATTGGAATATAGCAGTATGCATAAAAGTTGCCATTCATTTATAGTCCAATATCATAAAGTAAAGTAAAGTAACAGCCTATATATGTCCCACTGCTGGGCAAGGGCCTCCTCTATACAGAGGGTATTCAATAGGGTATAGTTTACTATTTATTATAAAAATATAGATTTGTAATTTTATTCCAGATTGAAATGAATTTTAACAAGGAGTTGTTGGATTATACATCTGTCAGAAAAGTTGTCCTGATGAGTTAAAACGAAACGGTCCACTGGCATTAATTGTAGCTTCGACACATTTAATAAATAAGTCAGGAAGAAAAGATATAACAAAAATCCCAACAATAATCACAGCTGGGCTAATAAGCATCACTAAAATGAATGCTGCAGCAAAAAATATTTGTAAAGGATATAGATTATGATTGGTACAGCTTGAGCAACCTTTCCCACTTCTTCGTCCGTCTGCATAATCTTCTTTATTCGCCCCTACAACCAAACAAAGTAATGATATCACCCAAACGAGGGGATTATGGACGAAAACAATAACATATATATTATATTTCGAAGCACACTAAAGATTTGAACTCACCGCGGGAAATCTTGCATTGTATTTTCTTTTCTTCGACGGCATGATGGAAATCCGTTCACTTAAACACTTATAATAGATAAAAATAAGCTCACTTCGCCATCACTGGGTGATACTTCTCGCGCATTTTTGAGGTTATAAAAGGGGGACGTTCACAGCCTACTTCATTTATATACGAATCTGACAGTTTTTCCACCTCTCATCGAAACGTAATATAAAGTAATCAATTATACGTATTATAAAACAGTTCAAATCTTCACAATATTAATGATTTTGTTTATATCATTTACGGATTTAATACGATTGTCTAGCAAACTGTTGTTGTCAATATTTCTTTATAAACTGAACACTAAAACTGAACTAAACACAAAAATCTGCTCTGTATTTTTTTTTGTAAAATATTTCCTACTTGGTGTTTTTAAAAGCTTTGTTAGAAGAGGTCTGTGGATAAATAATCAACTGACTCAAAAGAAACAACTTAGCTGGTGCACGATGAAGCCGTGCTCTCTCCTGCACCACCGCGACCCCTTTTAACGAAAGATGGACAACTTTACTAACAAGAGGGATTCACAACACGAACCAAAGACCCTCAGATATAGGCTTAGACTTAGACTGTCCTGAACCTATCCATAAACGTACTTTTCTTTTATAATTAAATACATTTTATAGATATATAAACACCCAGGCACTAGTAAAATGCTATAAACATCAAAGCACACACACAATATTTTTCCAGTTGTGGATCTCGAACCCACACCCGCTGTTGCAAGAGACAAGATTACTATCAACTACGCCAATTGGGTTGTCAATAATAAAAAAATATAACAAATAAATTAATTAATCACTAAGACAACACAAAATTCACGAAAGTAATCGGTTCATGGATAAAACGCGGAGCCATGTGTGTTTGTATACGTGTTACTTACCACGTTAGACACGTCTGCTAAATATCATTCCGTATTATTTATTTTTGGTTTAAATATTTGCAACTAAATAAAAATTTTAAACTATCACGTAAATAAAATTCCTAAGATTATATTCCTTTTGCACTTATTTACGGTGAACGCATGGATTGCATAGGTATATTTGTAGTTGTGGCTGATATCCCCTTCAACAATGATCCATAGACTGGGTGGTCAAGACAAAGACTTATCTTCTATTCGGAAGAAATCTCGAAGTACCCTCACACTCACTCTCACACTACACTCACACTCACTCGAAGTACGCCCTTGAATGTGGTGCGATAAACCACTACGTATGGTAAATGCTCTGATATAGCTCGGCCGATCAGAACGTAGGTAATGGTTCTGTAAAACACGAGATTGCCTTAATTTTCATGAACAAACATTAAATATTCACACGGGAAAAGACAGGTAGTGATCACTAATTGGCGAGAAGCACATTGAATATTAAAATTAGGCTGGAAAGATCTCGTTTGCTGAAGTTCACACTCCGTTCATCTCGTGCTACATAAATCCAATGCCTAGAAAGTTGTAACACGGTGGACGATATTAAGCTTGTGAGACGATGACGAGACCGTCCATGCCCTAGGCTATAAATTTTATAAAACCCGCCTAGCAAATAGAACTCAAAAACCTCTCACACTCTCAACCTCTTGGAAAAAAGTCGTAAGGTGTGACAGTCAGACTATAGTCAGATATGTCAGCCAATTGACATAATTGAAGACTGACAGCGGGGCTATCATCTCCAGTAGATCAGAAGTTTTGAGTGAAATGAAGAGGTTTTGTATACAACTGTACACATCGTCATTGAAACCAGGCACACGTGTGAATACCGACCCAATAATGAATCTGCGAGATCCAGATTAGAATGGCTCTTGACTATCTTAAAAACGGCAAAGCACTGGAAGAGCACGATATTTTAGCCGAACGGTGGAAAACTGGTACATATAATCCTTCAGAAGCTCTTTAATTCCTTTAAATTAGTGCTACACCATAGACGAGGCGCAAAAGTGTTGTGGTGTGGTTCTTCAAGAAAGGTGATAGCGCTTTCTTAAATATCCCTTCTGAGCCACGTCTATGTGCTGTTTTAGAGAATAATCTTGAATCGTCTCGTTTCAAAACTCGACGATTTCCAGCCTTCCGAACAACCAGATTCTAAAAAAAGGCTTCGGTACCATAGACCACATACACACTGCGGTAGATTATATAGAAAATCGAAGTGCAAATCTGCTGTTATGCTTGGCGTATGTGGACTATGAGAAAGTCTGGGATTCTGTCGAATTAGAGCGGTACTCCAGCGGTGGTAAATTTACTGTTGATATATCGTGGTGCTGAGGTGTTTGTATAATAAGGCTACAATGTTCGTGTGAATACACTCCAGTAGTACAAAACCTATCGAACAGCAAAAGGGAGTAAGACAGGGTCATGTCATTTCCCCGAAACTCTTCACCGCTGGTGGGAGTGGTTTCAAGTTTCTGGACTAAAAAGGACGTGCTATTAATATCAATGGCGAATACATCACCTTCCTTGGATTAGCCTATGACGTAGTCATTATGGCAAAATTGCTGGAGGACCTCGGTACTATCGACCACTTTATACTTGGTTAACCCCCATTGGATGAAGTGAGGAGCTTTCAAGTTTGTGTGAGAGGCCTAGGTTCAATAGAGGACAAACAGGCTGAACTGATGATGACGATGATGAATCAGAGCGCTCTCCCCACCAACGTTATGAAATCTGTCGCGTGCATGGTTTTTTTATTAGAGCGTTCTAATGGTATAATATTTCGAAGAACAGAATTGAAAAACACTCGAAACTCGATGTAACTCGGTTCACACTTCAAAAATGTGTACGTAAATGCAGTTAAGCTCACGTCTTAGCTCGTGATTCACGAACTCGATCCGTTACAGCTCTCGTAGCTGAGTAAATGACTTAGCGAGCTGCCTAATCAGCAAGTCAGAGTGAGAAAGAATTATTATAACTTGCACGATTGTGCGATTCAACCTCAACTAATCATATAGCTCGGTCCACGGCTTAAAATCGATGGAAGTCACTACTTGTTTACTTTTTTAAAGTAATCCAACGCAAAGGTTTATCGTAGATAAACTATGTAAAATTTAATTTTTTTAGTAATGTAAAATTGTTTTTTATTGTATTCTGTCTCATTCCATTTATGTTTTATTTGATTAACATCTATACCGTGTTATATAAACGAAGAAAAACTGTATAGACACTTATTTGATTCAACTACTACCTCTAGACTCTAGATTAGTCTGTACTCTGTAATCTATTCTGAATTCAATAGCACTTGGCAGTGATGTAATAATAATGTTGGTGTAATTTTGACACTGACAATTTACTAACTTGCTTTTGCTTTTGCTATCTGCATTCTTTATTAAAATGGCGTCGTTGTCAAGGTGTGTTGTCTATATTAATTAATATATTTTAAAACTTTGTTTTATTATTGAAACTATATTCCAAATAGCAAATTAATGCTTTGTTACTAAATAATATGCAATGTTTCTCTACCTTTAAATCAGGAAGATAGATTTTTGATATAATTGAATAGTTTCGAATACAATGCTAAGAATCTTTTTCTTTCCATGTTCTAAATATATTTCTATGCATTTTCCAAGGCAACTATTGTTCAAGTTGATGACAATTGCTGTTTACCAACAAGATAACAATGCAAATTGTCATTTTGTTTTTTATCACTGTTATTCACAGTTTATTACCAGCTCCCGTGCAGCAAGTATGGGATCGAGATGACGAACGTAAAGGACAGCGCGTTGGGAGCGCCCTTGTTGTATCACAGACGAGTGTGCCACCTTATGGCCAAAGGAAAGGGTGGGTTCCTCGATCAGAAGAAGATTTTGGAGGTTTGTTATTATATATTTTTTGTTGTTAGTAACATAACCCTTAGAATATGAAATGCGAATGATATTTCATGCACATACGTTAATTGTAAATTACTGTCATTAAGTAATAACTGCTTGTAACGGAATGCCTATTAAATGTGTTATCACATTAAAACAAAATTTATATATTTATATTCATTATTAAAGAAACAGTACAAGATTAATAGAATAAATTGATTATATTTTTATTTTGTAGATGGAGGTGCCTTTCCTGAAATCCATGTGGCTCAATACCCTTTGGGTATGGGTGCACGCGGGAAAGAGAGCACTTCTAACGCATTGGCTGTGCAACTGGACGAGTCTGGTCGAGTGAAATACTCTGCCATTGCTCGGCAGGGACACAGCGCTGACAAGGTTTGTTTTTATTTTTTCATCCAATTTTTAATGTTATGATTTTGTCTTTCATGTCTTTGTAATGTATTATTGTCTATGTAATATGATTTAAATGAAGAACAAGTAATTTAAAAGTTGATTCTTCTTTTAAAAGATTACTAGATTAAGGTAATATTACTGTTGATATGCTTTTAAACATTTTATATAATCTATTTCCTCTTTAGTTGTTAGTAGTTGTTGTTTAATTTTCTTTTTTTTTTCTAAAATTAGTTGTGACATAAAACAATTATACATAAAATGGAATTTCTAATTATTAAACCAACACCAATGTCCTAGCTTAATTTGTGTACTTTTTAAGTATTAGTGTAACCATTCTTTTAAATTGAACAAATTGGTAAATTAAAATTTGTAGAAAAAGTATGAAGAGATTGTCGCCGCTGTGGGAATCGAACCCACGTCTTCGGCAGTCGCGGCCTGACGCTTTATCCACTAAGCTAAATGGCTGATTGCCACACCGGCGAAAATCGTACTATTTCTACAAATTTTAATGTACAATCTTAAGTGAGATTAGCACTATAATAAATTATAAATTGGTAAATGTTATAAAACATGGCTAAAATATATTTTCGTGTTTATTTCAGATAATATATTCAAAATTAACAGATCTGCTTCCGGCAGAGGTTTTAGCTGAAGATGACCCAAGCCTCAACAAACCCACTGAAGAAGACATACAAGAAATCACAGAAAAGACGAAGCTGGCACTTGAAAAGTTGACAAATGCAAAAATATCAGCTGCTATGCCAGTCAAAGCGGCACCAAAGGCTGTAAGTTACGTTTTTTTTATATGTTAGAAGGTGGCCAGGGAGTTGGCAGAAAAAAGAGAAGAGAAAGTTGTAGAGAAAAAGTGAATCAAAGAGGATATTAACACTTTATAGTGCTATACATATGTTCCAATTCTAATATAAATATAATGGTTCAATCAACAAATAACTTAATGATTCTGCCAATTTCAAGGTTGAATAAAACAGACAGTAAAATTCAGATTAACTGGTAATGTTGACTTTTACGGTAGGAATAATATTACGCGTATCCAGTTTAGTTAACTGAATTAAGGACAAACAATGAATTTGTCGTGAAATAATTTGATATAAATGTTAAAGACAATAGAAAGAAAACATCAACAAAAATAGAGAAGGGGAAAAATGTAAAAAGATATTTAGCAAACAAACATTACATTTTTGTAACAAAAATTCATGGCGCCCTATTTGGATTCCATATTTAACACTTAAATTTTATTATACTGTGAAATAGAATCAATACATTTATTTAATTAGGTGGTACATCTTATCAGCAACTAACACAAGTGACCACCTGATTGTCTTAGGATATAGTAAATCTGTCTCTTAATTGGGTTCAAACCACACTACTAGAGCATATTGTGTAATGGAGTGTTTTTCTAATCTCTGCTTGTTTATATAGCTATGGTAAGGTTTTTAAAATAGTAAAGATTTGCTTAACATGGAATTGGAAAATATTTTTTCCAAATAATATAATTGTACTGTCATCATTAATCAGTTTGAAATGAATAAAAGTATATTTTAAATTCTGACGTTCAATTTTTTCCATATATTTTATAAGTATGCAAATTGTTGTTCATAATGTCATTGTAATTTATTTAAATAATTTTTAAATTATGTATGTAATGTACCACAACTTCTATGTACAGAAGTTGTGGTGTATCACATACATAATTGATGTTATGTTAGTAACTGACTAGCAAATGCGTTGATAGTGTGTATATGTTGCAGGCACCTGCCCAGTACATCAGATACACACCCGCTCAACAAGGTGGCACCTTCAACTCTGGTGCTAAACAGAGGGTCATCAGGTATGTCTAAAAGAATTTTGAAACAGATGTACTTATACTAATTATATTATAAACAAGAATTTTTGTTTATTTGGATGTTTGTTACTTTTACACGCAAAAACTACTGAATGGATTTTAATTAAACTACAATAATATAGCTTATACATTAGAATAACACATAGCTGCACAGGTTAAAATTTATAAAGCTACAAGGGTCTCTCAAATTAGCTCTGTCGGTCTATTACACATTCACAACAAAATTTTGGTATAAAGATAAATAGGATTTTGGACAAGAAAATAATCAACTCAAAGAACTAATCCTATCATGGAAGTCATGGGCTCCAGCTAGTTGATAACTGTATGCGATGCTGTAGTTCAGGAGTGAGCAACCTTTTTAATCAATGCGCCAGTTTAAATTTAAAATTTTTTTTGGCGGGCCGCACATAGTAATTCACGAAACTTAATTTATAATAAATAAAATATAAAATTAAAAAAAGTAAAGATTTCATATACAAATTTTAATGCAAGGTAAAAACAAACAAAAAAAGAACAGAAAAACGAGCAAAAAATATTTCGGTTCAGTATGTACTACCATTTTATTTTAATTAATTCATAACAATGTATCGATGAGATAAATTCGATAAAATAAATTCAATTTTAGAAATGCTATGCGGGCCCTATAAATATGTTTAATGGGCCGCGCGTTACTCATCCTTGCAACCTCTTTTGATAAATGTTAAGCATATATATTATAATGCACCGGTTAGTATATATAGATAGTTAGAGAATTATTGTCATTCTTGCTAATAATTAAGTATATCCAAATACGAATTTTAAGGCATTAGCCATTGCTTGAAATTATTTATCTTTTCTTTCAAATGTACCTATTTATTATGAACAGTTCTATTATTATAGCTTCATATAGCTTCTTATTAGCGAATCATTAATATTTATGTATTTTTTCATTCATTCAAATTTATTCTCACTGTGGTTGCCTTGTGCCTAGATTTCTTAAAAACAAGACATTTATTCGAGAACCGTTTTATTACACGCACTAACTATGACAAACATCTACTTCTGCAAATCATTTTTGTTTGAAAAAATCTTGAAATACATTGCCGTGGCTTTTCTTCCATGTACCAATAAAGATATTTGAATTTGACCTACACCGGATACCAACATCTGTACAGTGGCACATTTTAACCCAGGATGGTCGAGGCGCAGACGGACCCGATGGAGCCGCCCCGCTTCCAGATCAACAAGAAGATTCCCAGGGCGGCGCCCTCGCCCCCCGCGCCGGTGCTCCACTCGCCCCCGCGCCGCGTCTCCGTCAAGCAGCAGCGCGACTGGAAGGTCCCACCCTGTGTCTCCCATTGGAAGAACGCCAAAGGTTAGAGTAGTCCCCGCTGTTGCAGGAATGGGCAGGTCCGTCCGGGGAAGTACCACGACCTCACAATGAACTGGCGTCACGCGGAGGTGTTATACTTCTGCGTTTCGTCTGGTGAGTGTGTTTGCCGGGCCCACTTTATCAAAAGTTGCAATGAATATGTGTACCCTACGAATGTTGTAAATTTTAATGAGGGGTGGATTTTACATCAGGTAAATCGCCAGCTTGCTTGCCACCTTATCCCAAAAAAAAAAAAAAGAATGAATGGAGATCTTCATTATCCACCTAGGTGTTGTTAGGATTTTGGCTAAGATTTTTGGGAAGAAACACCCGCATCTGCATCATTCAAGCTTGGTACATTATCTTTAAAATCGAGGTATTTGTTGACTCTAGTAAGCTTCATGATTGATCACATAAGATATCAATTAGTCAATATTACAAACAGACATTCCAATAAAAATTACTGATGAAATGTGAACTCAAATGGAGCCATAGAATGTTTCCAGCAATTTTCGTCTGGTCATCATCGGGCACATATTAAAGCAATGCCTCTATTGCCCTGTCTAACTGTTCACATTCCACATTCAGGTTACACGATCCCGTTGGACAAGCGCCTGGCGGCTGACGGGCGGGGTCTGCAGCAGGTGCACATAAACGAGAACTTCTCCAAGCTGGCCGAGGCACTGTACATAGCGGACAGGAAGGCGAGGGAGGCGGTGGAAGCCAGGGCGCAGCTGGAGAGGAGACTGGCGCAGAGGGAGAAGGAGAAGAAGGAGGAGCATCTGAGGATGCTGGCGCAGAGGGCGAGGGATCACAGAGCGGGTGATTATTAAAAATTTTTTTCATACAAGAAAAACAACAGGTTCAAAAACAGGTTTTAAATTTGATCTAGTTTTTTACAAAAAAACAAGATCAAATATAGCGTGTCTTTACCATCGCGACAATAAATGAACACACATATAGAGGATAACTTTTAAAAATTGTATTAAAGTTTTACATTCTTTAAACATCAAAATTTACCGAGTTATCAAATTTTCCAAAAAAAAAGAATTTTAGAACACCCTTACGTATAAAACTTTAACGTAAAGTTCATTTGTAAAGGTCACAAAGCATTTGAATGGATTGAATGAATTTAAAAGAGACAAAACATACTGTTAGAAGGAGAGGCTTGTAGTGCGGCACTGTGGCAACAAATGAAAAAGTCAATTATAGTTGTATAGGTATATTATATATGTTATGTTAAACTAATTAAGTAAAAAAGAAACAAATTTTGTTTCTTTTTCACTTAGTTTGTTTGAAGAATATATTTTTTTAATTATGGATTTTTTTTTAACGTTAATATTTTTTTATGATTATTGTTATATGATGTGTGTTAATTTATTGTTGCGGTGGTAAAGTCACGCTGTATATGCATTTTCATGTATCTTCGAAGTCCAAGCTGCAATGATATTAATACATGATCACAAGGTAGCTTTAGTATATAAGAATTTTTAAAATGGGTTGATAAATGGAGATAACAAAGGTAAAAGAAACATACAACCATTCAGACTGGAAAATACCAATTTGTTTGGCACTACACTATACAACAAACTATATTATAAAGGTTGACTAATTAGATCCAGTGAAGCCACTGGTGGTCCAGGGGATGCGTGAAATATATTGTTACTCTAAAGCATTAACAATCAGGGATTGTGCATACATTAGCAGCTGTACAGCAAGATGTGGGAGCGAGACGGAATTCGATTTAAGACTATAGCGAAAAAAAGAGAGTAAAAAGGTTTAGTAACGGGTCACAAAAAAACATGCAGTGATTTAATTTAGAGAACATTAATACAAAACCTTTTTTAAATTACATAGATTAAAGTTAATAATAATAATAAAGTAACAATTAATATGAAAGATTTGTGTGACTTATTATTAAAGTTTTTATTTTTACCCAAATGTGGTCCATTTAAAACTATTACTTCCTAAGTAATATAAAGAACAGATAATACAAACAAATCTTTTTTTAGATAAGCAAGATTAAAGTTGTTTAAAGTTATTTTTACCCCAACGGGTCCATGTAGAACCATGATACTTCCTATCATCTATTATCTAATCTGTTGTGCCTATGTTCATCAGCGGACTGGAACTGGCTGAAATGATGATGATGATTACGATGACGATTTAAGTGTGTTTGTAATTCGAGCAGGAATCAGGCCGGCGGACGAGGAAAGCGAGGCTGCGGAACCCGAAGAGGGCCTGAGCGACATGGAGAAGGCGGAACGGGACAGGCTCAGGGCGGAGAGGCACAAGGAGAGGCAGCGGGAGAGGAACCTCGCGAGGGCCGCGCCCGACAAGAGGTGCGGTTTTCTTTATGCTACAACCAGCGACCGATATTGCGTATTGCCTTCCATTCTTTAATCTTCCGTTTTTCGGATTCCTTAGACAATCGCTGTCTGTGTGCCTAGTGTAGGCAAGCGCGCAAAATGTAGGACGTTATCCTTACTTCCTTACTAATATTATAAAGGCGGAAGTTTGTATGTATGGATGGATGTTTGTTACTCTTTCACGCAAATACTACTGAATGGATTTTAATAGCACTTTGTAATAATATAGCTTATACATCAGAATAAGACATAGGCTATAATTTAATACATATTTTATGTATACCTGTCTGTCTGTCTTAATGTTACACCTTCAGCCTATTCTACGCAGACGTAGTCGCGGGCAGCAGCTAGTGTATTATACATATAAACCTTCCTCTTGAATCACTCTATATAGTAAAAAAATCCGCATCAAGATCCGTTGTGTAGTTTTAAAGATCTAAGCATACATAGGGACAAACAGACAGCGCGGCGACTTTGTTATATAATATTTAGTGATATTTCAAGATGATGCTAAACGATAATCACCGCCCATGTATTCATGGGAGTCAATCAACACCCGTAGAGTTGCAGATGCGTTTGCAAATTTTCAATAAAGTGTCTCCCGTCTACTTCGAAAACGCAGAAGTATCAAACTTTCACTTGCTTCCACTATCGCTTAGCGGCTGTGCCAACCGAGGCATCAAATAAATTTGCTGTGTTTTTAATATTTTGTGCAAAATTCACTCAGTGGTTCTAATAAAACACAAATGTGCACACTCGAAAGGGTAAACGTCATTTAAATTCAAGATACAGGTCAAAATGTCGGTTTAGCCAAACCATACAGCGCCATCGGTCTAACGTGTTCTCCAATTTATCTTTATCCTGCCCTCATCCCATTTGCTTGGGGTCGGCACAACATGTGAATGTTGTTGTTAATGAAGACTTTAACTTAACCAGACGGTTAAGTTTTTTACAACCGGCAGTCTGCCAGACATCAAGACTACACACTGATCCTAAAAAATTAACCTTGAGGCACACAAGTGCTATTCCCATGTGAGAATCTAACTAGGGATGTCGAAAGCGAAGAAATATATCGATGCTTACCCGCCCGCTATTATTTGCCGGATACGAATTTGATAAGATTTTCGATATTGAATATTTTGTATCGATATATCGATATTTTTTCGACATCCCTAAACCGGATCCCATGAGCCCCGGCCAATCGGAATGAGCTAAAACGAAACGCTTTTCGAATGTGACGTCCAGTCGATTGTGTTTTCCAGGTCTAAGCTGGCGAAAGAGAGGGAGCGCGATATATCCGAGCAGATCGCCCTTGGCATGCCGGCCAAGAGCAACCAGGCGGGCGAGGGCATGTTCGACCAGCGGCTGTTCAACAACTCCAAGGGAATGGACAGCGGTGGGTTTAGTTAATTTTTTTTATGTAAGAACACGGCAAGAGAGTTGGCGGTTCGCCGGATTTTTGGTGCCCGCCGCCGCCCATGGATTTTTGCCACACCCTTAGGGTTGACAATGCGTTGCAAATAACAGCTTTATATAAAGTTAGCGATTAGCTCACTAACACTTCAACTTCCCACCGGTCTTATGGGAAGAGAATTTCGGCTCGGCTTTCATTTAGCGATTCAACAAAATATGTAAAATATCACATTTAAAATGTGTAAATAAACTGTCGAAAATTAAATAAAATTGTAGATAAAACTGTCACAATATTTATTCGCCGCTGTCGGTATTCAAACTTGCACCTTTCTTGAAGAAATTTTCAAAATTTTTATCTGCAAGCTTTTATGTTTCATATTTTAAAAATGTAGTTTTTTACGCTGCAAGGATTCGAACCTGCGATTCGACTCTCTAGCCATTAAGCCAAACGTTCGATATCGTCAGCGCTCACTTTTAAAGCCCCTGTGCACATTGGACCAATGTGTTGAGCTATTTTGCGAAACGTTTGTGACAAATCGTAGTTGGCGCGAACGTTTGCCGGCAATCCGAATTGTGTCGGGTTTTTGAGTGCACATCAAGAGATCTTGGCGCGTTACAATGAGCAGTACGCAAATGTGCGAACAGCTGCACACCGCGAACGCAAACGCTTTGGCCCAATGTGTACAGGGGCCTTAAGAGTGAGCGCTGACGATATCGAACGTTTAGCTTAGTGGCTAGAGAGTCGAAGCGCAGGTTCAAATCCTTGCAGCGTAAAAAAAAACTACATTTCTTTAAACATGAAACTTAAAAGCATGCAGATAAAAATTTTGAAAAATTTGTGTACAGGGGCCTTTAAGTGTAGAGATTAGCATTTAAAACAAAAATTTAGTATTTAAAATATAAAAAACCCCAATGTTTTCACCTAAAATATCCATAAAAAAACCCCAACGTTTTTTGCGATTGTACACCATCTAGTGAGAGCGGAATAAATCGATTTAGTTGAAAATGACTGGAGCGAGAGGGCTACAGGATTAAGGATATATAGCCCTATCGTTTGTGGGCTCTCATGTTTCTTTTGATGCATATACCTTTGAGGCGCATTGTTGAATTGCACGTGCTATATGAGCCGTGATAGCCAAGTGTTTGGGCGTTCGCTTTTAATTCAATATATTCGAGTAACAAGAGTTTAAATCCCCATGCTGGCAACAATGAAATTGTCAGGTGCGGACTCATCACGTTCTCAGCGAAGGAAAACACTGTGAGGAATTCTGCTTATTTTCGAAATAATAATAAAAATAATATTTTGGAGATATGTGAAGTCCGCTAATCCACAGTGGGGTCGCCTGGTGGACTAAGCCCTAATGCCCTCTGTACTAGGAGGCCTGTGCAAAGCAGTGAGAAATGTATAGGCTGTTACTTTTTCTTCATCTAAAAGAATTATTGTTAAAAATAATATGACTAGATAGTCAGCATGTCACCAATTATTTAGTTACCTAAATAAATATAAAGGACTATGCCCCAATAGAATACTCACTGAACAGACAGAGACTATAGCCCGGCAGTAGGACATGTATAGGAAAGTAACTTGGTAACTTACGAACGTGTTAATTTCTTTGTAAAATTTTGACGTTTCGTAAGAACGCGCAAGCGTCTATGTGAATAAAGATATTTTATTATTATTATTATTTATTATTAAAAGTTCACTTTTGCATACTCTATCATTTAGTGATCTCTTTTCCTTCCAGGATATGGTGATGATGAAGCGTACAACGTATACGACAAGCCGTGGCGGAACCAGGACACCGTGGGGGCCCACATCTACCGGCCCACTAGGAACGCCGACAAGGATAACTATGGCGGAGATCTGGACGCGATAGCGAACACCAGAAGGTTTCTTTTTCATATTATATAGAGGCGTTTTTTTAGGTCATTTTAACAATTTTAGGGTTCCGTAACTGAAAAAAAAGGAAACCATATAAGATCACTCCCTTGTCTAAATTAAAATTATTAATCATTTAAATTGAAAAAAAAAAAAAGCTTGTTCATATTACTTAATTTTAGGTTCGATTAGCTTTATGATTAATTTTTCATGTTTTGTGCTAGACTGCGATATTTTGTAAATAAATGAAATATAAACCTAATCTTCGAATCTATCATCCGCTTAGAGAAAGTTATTGATTCCAATTCCAATTTTAATATAATGGCTCCATCAAGAAGTCATTGATCTGTTTGACTTCACAAAACGGTCCTTCGTAGTTCGTATAGATCCTAAACTCTCGTTAAAGTCCTTGATGTGGCACATTCCAGATTCGTCGCCGACAAGGAGTTCGCCGGCACCAGCAGCGGCAACACCCGCGCTGGACCAGTGCAGTTCGAGAAGGACGCTCCGCCCACACGAGACGAACCCTCCGTTAGTTTCATTACATTTTTATTGGTTACCTTTATATATATGTAATTCTTCTGTACGTGTGTATGTCACTGAACTTCTAAACGGCTGCACCAATTTTAATGAAATTTATTGTGTTCTCAGGTCGATTGGAGAATGGTTTAGATTCACAATTATTTTTTTTTAAGTTATCTGCTTTAATTCTTGTGACAAAATCTGCTAATATATATATATATATCGTGTCGCATTTGCGATGCTCCTCCAAAGCGTCTTGATCGATTTTTAGGAAGTTTTATATTCGTAGGTCTGAAAAACGGGTCTAAATTTATTTTTCATACTAAATGATGGAATTTTTCATACTAAAAGGTGGAAAATAGTGTTTGGGGTGAACCATCCTTGTTCACCCCAAACACTATTTTCCACTTTACAAATTCCCTATAAATAATTAATATATGGCAAAGCAACGTTCGCCGGGTAAGCTAACATTTCTATTAAACTCACGTTACTTTGCTTTAAATGTGATATTTTACTATTTATGACCATTGACTAATTATGAATCTAACAGCGGCACTAGCGTCAGAAAACAAAAATGAAATTGCATACGTCTATTTGAACACCCTTAAACAAAATGTTTACAAAGATATCTGTGGTGTGTCTTATAAACTTATATTTATTCAACAATTTTTCAATTTTTTTTTCCAAACTTGCACATTTGTGAACCTATTATATAAAAAAAATGTTCTCAAAACAGTAATATTGTTTAGCGGGAGCGAGAAATAACGTAATTTAGACTGCAGCGCGAACTAAAGGGCAATACTTTTCCCCCGCGGTCCTTGTAGCCTCTTCGATATGAACAAACTGTCTACTATCTATGGACTCTTATGAATTTCAAAGGTGGTCACTTCTCTAATTTTGTTAATTCTATGAAGAATTTAAATTAATGAATGTTATCATTAAATATAACTATTTATGGGTTAAGTAGGTCATGATTTTGACTTTCATTTCAGGAAACAACCTACAACGAGTACCTTTTTCGACTCTTATTAAAAGAAGGGCATATTTTGGAAAGCTACATAATGTATATACTTCATTCACATTCACTTTCACTTCCCTCCAATCACCGCTAAGTGCACAAATCTTTTACTTAGTTAACGCACGCATGAGCAAATTCGCGGTCCTACCCACTGTGACGGGCTTCAAACAAGTGGGCTCTGGCTAGTCCACGGGTTCTGCGTTCGATGAAGCTTTTATAATCCATTTTCTTTTTTATGTGAGAAAGTGGCAAACGAGCTACCGCCGATGACCGCCGCCCATGGACACATTTCCAACACCCGTAGGGTTGCAAATGCGTTGCAACCTTTAAATAGAGTGTGCCCCGGCTGCCTCACTCACCACACGAAACGTAGAAGTGTAACACTTGAAGTGTAAAGTGTCTTCTGTGAGGTCGTGTTACTTACCCGGTCGGGCCTGCCCATTCCTTACCACCGTCGAAATTTTTTTTTCTCTAAACGGGCAACACTACAATTCTAACGGTGCGTTGTGTATTTGCAGACGCAGAGCTCTAGGGGCCAGCCCGACGCCGACTTCGACCCCTTCGGGCTGGATCGGTTCCTGAGCGAGGCCAAGAGGGCGGACAAGTCCACCCGCAAACGGGACCACCACGACCGGCACGATGCGCACGGCAAGAAGCGCCGCGACTAGACGCGGGGCGGGTGCCAATCCCAGCGGACGTACTATTAGAAGGTGCGTGCGTTTTGCTTCGTTATGATGGGCTGGTTCGAGACGCGGGACGACACAAAAACATGAACACTTGTATTGCCTGCGTTTCCCTGTATCATGCATCTACAACAGCTATTGTAAGGCAAAAATGAGGAGAGCCTAGCTACTTGATTTCGTATAAGACGTGAATGGAATTGAGGAGATATGAAATCTTCATGCTTCTCTGTCGTAATCTTCAATCATTGTTCTGACTGAAATTTGTCAGTTATTAAGTCTATATGATGCAAAACCACCGATATCTCCTGGGATCTTAGGGTAGAACTGTATTATTACCATACAGTCAAGAGTTTACCATCTGCAACAGTCAGTTGAGCACTAATTGCTATTTTGCTTTAAACAACATAAGAAACTTATTTTTTTAAAACATGATTAACATAATCTTTCATTTCAATTTTCTTGAATTGTTTCAGATAACATTGAGATCTTGGCCTGGCAGATTCATTGAGTGGCCAACCATCCATCTTGTCATTACTGTTGAAGGATATCTAGCTTATGAAAGTGACGGGAAAAATGAGATGTGTTTTTTTATGTGAAAAGTTGCCAAATGAGCAGACGGTTCATCTGATGTTAAGTGAATACCGCCGCCCATGGACACATCTGCCACACCCCGAGGGTTTGCAGATGCGTTGACACCTTTTGAAAATTGGGCTCCTGCTACCTCACTCACCAGATGAAACGCCAAAGCATTTGTCATACTTCCACATCACGCCGGTCTTCTGTGAGGTCGTGTTACTTACCCGGTCGGGCCTGCCCATTCCTTACCACCGTCGAAATTTTTTTTTCTCTAAACGGGCAACACTACAATTCTAACGGTGCGTTGTGTATTTGCAGACGCAGAGCTCTAGGGGCCAGCCCGACGCCGACTTCGACCCCTTCGGGCTGGATCGGTTCCTGAGCGAGGCCAAGAGGGCGGACAAGTCCACCCGCAAACGGGACCACCACGACCGGCACGACGCGCACGGCAAGAAGCGCCGCGACTAGACGCGGGGCGGGTGCCAATCCCAGCGGACGTACTATTAGAAGGTGCGTGCGTTTTGCTTCGTTATGATGGGCTGGTTCGAGACGCGGGACGACACAAAAACATGAACACTTGTATTGCCTGCGTTTCCCTGTATCATGCATCTACAACAGCTATTGTAGGGCAAAAATGAGGAGCCTAGCTACTTGATTTCGTATAAGACGTGAATGGAATTGAGGAGATATGAAATCTTCATGCTTCTCTGTCGTAATCTTCAATCATTGTTCTGACTGAAATTTGTCAGTTATTAAGTCTATATGATGCAAAACCACCGATATCTCCTGGGATCTTAGGGTAGAACTGTATTATTACCATACAGTCAAGAGTTTACCATCTGCAACAGTCAGTTGAGCACTAATTGCTATTTTGCTTTAAACAACATAAGAAACTTATTTTTTTAAAACATGATTAACATAATCTTTCATTTAAATTTTCTTGAATTGTTTCAGATAACATTGAGATCTTGGCCTGGCAGATTCATTGAGTGGCCAACCATCCATCTTGTCATTACTGTTGAAGGATATCTAGCTTATGAAAGTGACGGGAAAAATGAGATGTGTTTTTTTATGTGAAAAGTTGCCAAATGAGCAGACGGTTCATCTGATGTTAAGTGAATACCGCCGCCCATGGACATCTGCCACACCCGAGGGTTTGCAGATGCGTTGACACCTTTTGAAAATTGGGCTCCTGCTACCTCACTCACCAGATGAAACGCGAAAGTATTTGTCATACTTCCACATCACGCCGGTCTTCTGTGAGGTCGTGGTACTTACCAGGACAAGCCTGCCCATTGGTGCAACAGCTGAGGCTGCTGCGTGGCCCTACCACTGTGAAAAAAACACATAAATATTTCATATTCTTTAATTTCCTTTCAACAATTATTGTTGAAATTGATAGTCATACTTACTACTTTCATACTTTATTAATGTCTCGTCTTGTGTTAGATTAGATAGCAATGAATTATACATTTTTATGTATACCAACGCCCAGTTTCTGAAACTTAAGCTTCCTTTTGGCTACTCAAATGGCATTTGACAGCTGATTAGTTAATTTCTACGATGATCAGAAAAGGGTGTAAAAGTTTAAATCAACTGTCGGCAACATAATGCAAAAGTAATTTCCATAACTGTTAAGCGAAAATTGACAGAAAATAACGAAAGGTCCTCTGTAACAATTACTTTTTATTTTTAAAAATTTTGTGTTCTAGAACTGCAATTATTGAAGTTTTTGAAAAATGAAATCTTTAAAATGTAAGGTTTGTTAGGTTATAATAATATTGTAGTGAAACTTGTGGGAGATGTAAGAACATTGGGGGTCCTTGGGCTAATTGCTTATTTGTTTTAAGGGCATGTGAATAAGCGTAGACCATTCTTTTCAAGCACTTAGCTTTTGAATATATTGAAATTCACTGTTGTTCATGACATGCCTGGATAATAGGAAGCCAGTCTAGTAACGCTACTTGTGTTTGAAATGCTATATTTAACTTATGAATGCTATCCTTTAAAAACAAGCGATTGATTTTTCAAACAAAAAATGGGATTTATCGAATTGTTTTCAGAGGAAAGTGATAGTGTTTATGGCACTTTGTAACTTTAACTTCTTAATCTTTATTTACAAAAATTTAGATTCCGTAAGCTTGGGTCCACAGAACTAAAAAAGAAACAGATGGATTGACTTGATATTTTTTCACAGTGTAGCGTGGTCGGGTTCATCCTAGCATTGTATAATTGTATTTTGTAATATTTTCCCTGAAAAGCGCTTAATTAAGTTAAATATTGAAGATTTTGCTCATAAACCAGATATTCAATTTGAAATTAGCTCTAAGCAAAGTTGTCAGCAAAGAGGTAAAGAAGAGTGCGAAATGTCGATTTTCTATTATGATTTTTCGTTACTTACCTTTGGAATGTATAGACGGACGCCTTAACGTGCCTTCCAATGGTTGTAGATTCAGTAAATAGTGTAATTTTTTAATGCATAACTATGTGATAGGGTAAACTTCGATAAACAAAATACCACAAGATATTGTTTATCGTATTTCTAATAAATAAATAACTGTACATTGACGAGTTTTATTTTATTCCTCATTTCCATATTTTATAAGGTATTTATTATGCGCATTATGTACGCATCGAGCGTTCTTGCCGCCGTGACGAATCAAAATCTAAAAATCAAACTGTAAACCACTGTTAAAAGAATTAGTTTATGTCTACATAATTACAAACCTTTTCATATTAAAAAGAGTCTTCATGAATATGATAGAAACACCTTCATCATCCTTGTTAAACACATTCAATTTAATTTTTCAAAATTGTGACGTGATATCCATTCTGCACCTTTCACAACCCAATAATTATTTCATTTTAATTTTATTTTTCTATTTTTACAAACAAAACGTAACATATAATTATATGTTTTACGTTTTGTTTGTTCTAATTTTCATATTTTATTGTAGGGCTAGTTTTGTAGGTACCTAACAGCTAGAATGAAAATTAAAAACCTAATATGACTTTAGGAATTTAAGTTGTAAGTTCACTCTATATTAAGCTATATAATAAAACTAATTACATACTTATATTTTTAATTCGAACCAATGCTAGTGAATTCGAGGAATTCTAGGTTCATTGTCAGTACGAAAAGCACGGCCGCCAATTTGCGTGAACTATTACACCACATAATATATGCTACGTACGCCGTTAAATAGTTTGTCGATATGCTGCTTAGATATAATCATTTGGTAAATTAAGCACAATACCTACGTAGCATGCTTCATGTACTGTTATCGACATGAGTTTTATGAATCGTAAGCTAGATGGCGTTGCGCGGTTAGCGCTGAATACCTGAAACGCGATGTTGAGATTTTTTCGCGGTGAATAAGATCGTTCGACGGCGGAATTTCGGTATCGCTTCTCGGCCTTTTGGCTAAGATCAAAGTGTAGTATCTGTTCTTTTCAGCTTAATATCTGAAAGTTCCCGCACTGCGGGACCAGTATATTAAACTGATTTTTGTATAACGACGGGATGTTCGGGGCTCGCTCCACTCCCGTCACGGGTCGGCCCGGCATTGCAGTGCCGCCGGGATCGGCCCACATAGTTCATTTTCACGCTTACATGTAATATTAGTTCTTCGAAGCTTGGGTAAGATCCAGATTACAATGTAATTGGGAAAAGCTTATAAGTGTATGCAATCAAGCATTGCTTCATTGCTTGCTTGCATTCATGATAAAAACTAATCATAATCATTTAATCAATAATGGATTATTTGGATAGTAATCGCTGAAATTTTCCTGTCTGTTTCCATGACTTTTAGTTTAGGTAGCTAGACTAGCTAATTAAGATTAAAAAAAGTTGAACTTAAATGTGTTTTTTGATTTTTGTATTGTTGAAAAGTTGATTGAGTATTTATTTAAAAACTTACCAACTTATACCAAAAATACATAAAAAAACAACAATATTCTGATGTGATAATTAAGTTTAACATTGTATATATGCATTTAAATTCAAGGTAAACACAACATTGAAGAAAATAATTCATTAAGGAAAACAGTAACCTACTGCGTCAATTTTTTTGAATACGATTTTAGCTTGTTATATAAAATTTACTCCGGAATAAGAATTTATTTAGACCACTTCAAATGTTTAATACTTACTTGACATACCTTTTGGACTACGGGGCCTAAAAAGATAATATCGATAATTTTAATAGACGTAGTAAATATATATTTGTAATTGTAAGGGAAGAATTTTTGGATTCGTCCAGTCTGACATAAATTTTTGATTCCTTTTTTTATTTTAATTTTGCATTTTGTCGCTTGTGAATCTGCCCAAACTTGCGCAATTTTTGCTTTTTCTTTATGAGTTAATAGGTGAACCGATTTTTTTATGTGCAACGATGGCAACCGAGGATGTTTACTTGCACTTAAAAGATACGCCTAAGAACAATTACAACTATAGGGTTTGAGATTGGTGAAGTAGTGTGATACTTCATCAGGCGAATTGCAAATCAACTGTTTTTTCTCAACTTGATACTTTCCCTGATAAGACTGCTTACTGCATTGGCAGTACTGCATGGCCCTGCCAAGATTTCAAAATGATATTCCGAGAGTAGTGTTGTACCAATATAGGAGTAGGTTTTGTGTGGAACATAAATATGACTCGTGAGAAAAACTGGTCAAGGTACTCCGTACATATGTATATTAGTCTTGCTTTAGAAGAGTAAATTATTTTCGACGAACTAGTAACACCATATCCAGTGTTATTTAAATAATAACTGGAAATAAAAAAATGTAAATTAAAAATGTAAATTTCACTAAGCTTGAACAGATTGTGGTATGTCTTGAACAATCCACAGGAAGTTTCATCGACATTTGTAACTAATAATTCAAGTTATACATATATCGCACACATCTGTTACGGAAAGTTTTAAGAGAATATTAAGGAAATTAAAGTCCTTATGTATTATTATATGTACATTATTTACTACCAAGGGTGTAGCCTAACAAAGCGTCCATGCAGTTTATTATTAACGATAACGAGGGAATACAATCTCGCGAGATTTTGGAACTAGCCGAGATTGGATATTTTTACTGAAAACAATGTTATTTTTTCTGAAATATGCATGTTTCCTCAAGATGCTTTCCTTCACCGCTGATCACGTGATAAGTCAGCGCTCAAAATTAACTAAACCATATAATAATACAAATTCTAGACAGGTATCGCTGCTTAAGGCTAATCTAACAAAGTTGCATCCACCACTTTCTCCTGTCGTTATCGCACGTAGGTGGGCCACAACATGTGAACTATACTGTGAATGGTGTTGGCTACTGGCTAGGTTTTATAGAAGTTATACTTCTTTAGGCGCGTTATGAAAATGAAATTTTAAGATTCGTGCACACCACTGTAACGCAAAACTAACAACTTTGGAGCTGCCCGCTAAACCGCTTATTATAGATGGCAGCATATTCTCAATCACATTCGCCCGTTACAGTTCTCAATAGATAATGTAGATGGCGCTTTCATAATTGTATTATTTATATCCTTTTCAAGGCTTTTTATTATTTCATTGTAATTAATTATTTGCATGCAATTAAAAATTGTTTTTAATGATGCCAAAGAACTTTAACTTCTCACGCGCGTACATAAATACACGCTCCCATTTTCGTACGACCGGCATGCATAGTCAACCTAGATTTTGAACAATTATCTGGGGCTCACACAAATACATATGCCGTGCGAGCATCGAACCCACGATGCCCTGCACCGAATCTAACATTAGCAACCGCGCCACCCTCGAGTTATTAGTATATGTGTTTGAATTAAAAGTGTCATATAATTTTCACAGGACTTTATTGAATTAACAATACTCCGTAACACATATAAAATTCAAAATACACATAGGCGCTATGGTCACGGGCGTGTACGCATCCTAAATGCTAATTGTGTGCAAGGGACCACGTGCAAAATACTCATCAAGTAAGACACTTCGTGTAATCACAGACTAAATACATTATGACGATGAGAATTGTTCGCGTGGTGTTCTACAAAAAATCAGCACGCAATTTTGTTTTTCTATACAAGAACTTAAATTCGTACTTTGTAATTATTATGTATGTAAAATGTATAAGCTATCGTTCGAATTAAAACAACAAGATAAAATAAAAAATAAATGTACTCGTTTTCTTTTGTTTATTATGTTATATAGCTAACATTGCATCTTGTGAAATAAATACGAATATAATTTAAGTGATATTTCTTTTATATAAATAATATATTCTTCATACGCGTAGACATTTCGAATATCTCACACTGTTGGTCTTCGTTGAATTTTGAATATATCTCGTGGAATGTTAGGCCTAAGTTGCGTATCCGTGTTATACAGGGTGTTACAAAACAAAATCTGTGTTCGAAAGCCTTGTTTTTATATATATATATATTTAGTTTGTTACATCGAATTTATAATTGTATTCCGCCGGCGGCAAGTACTGTGTAACGGACGGCGTACACCCCACCACGCAGGTTTACTTGTGCTTCAGTATGGTGTTCTTTAGCTTGTCGACGTTGGCTCCGGAGAACTCCTCGAGTTTCTTGGAGCTCTTCACGAAGACGAAGGTCGGCATCGAGTTGATGTTGTACTCGGTAGCGATGTCCTCGCATTCGTCCACGTCGACCTGAAAAGGAAATATAACACGTAGTCATTAGTGCATCTATACAGATAAATAAAATTGGACTGTCTGTTTGTATTATTAAAATAACCGCCTTTTACTAATTGCATATGGATGTATACACGGTACATATACCAAAATAACATTTTCAATTCACATAGGCCGGGACTTTTCCTGGCAGATAGATGATGTAATAAGAAGTTACCTAGGCTACTTTTATTTTAGATTTTTTTTACTTAAAATTCCACGAGGAAGAAGTCGCGGGCACAGCTAGTCTTTACTATTATAATCCTTACTAATATTATAAAGGCGAAAGTTTGTTTGTATGTATGGATGGATGTTTGTTACTCTTTCACGCAAATACTATTGAATGGATTTTAATGGAACTTTACAATAATATGCCTTCAGCCTATTCTACGCAGATGTCGCGGACAGCAGCTAGTACTGAATACATTTGTTCAAAGGTTTTTTTTACGTTGAGGAAGTAGCAAACGAGCTGGCGATTCACGAGATGTTAAGTGATAACCGCCGCCCATGGAAATTTGCAACACCGTAGGGTTGTGAATGCGTTGTAACCTTTTAACAAAGTGGGCCCCAGCTACCTAACTCACTAGACGAAACGGAGATTAACACTTCCACGTTTAGCCGGTCTTCTGTGAGGTAGTGGTATTTATCAGGACGGACCTGCCCATTCGTGCAACAGTGAACACTGTTGCGTGGCCCTCCCGACCTAGTGGGTTCTGCGCACATGTGAATCATGTAAGCGGTTTTGGCTAGGTATTATACGACCAGCCCTCTGCTCAGGCATTGTTGTTCGTTTCCTAAGAAGGGTTGACGTCAGCGTTAACCCTCCTTAGGAAACGAACACCCAGAATCCGGTACAGTTATCTGTGGGTCACACAAATACTTGTCCCGTGTGGGAATCGAACCCACGACCCCCGACGCCGGAGCCGATAGCTTAACAACTTCCACAGCGGCGACAATCATTTCGTACTTTTTCTACATGTTTTAACTTTCACAGAGTTTGTCTGTCTTTTGGTGGACTCCGAAAGTACTGAACCGATTTTTATGCATATTTTTCATTTTGCTAGATTTGTTTCTACTTAGGGCACAGGATATTTGAATTATTAACGTCAATATTTTTATTTCAATTTTTGTAAGTTTGAAAGAGTTTGTTAGTTCCGTAATATTCTTACAGAAGGCAGTGTAAGTCGGTGTATTGACCCACTTTCATAACTTATGTCATCTCGGTTTTTTATCCCATGTAATAATTTGTTGCATGAGTTTTTAAGATTCACATTAAAAATATATTATGATTTTGTCTGCTGTTTATTCTATGTACAAATTAATAGTAACTCACAAAGTTTTGTGTACAGCTATTATTTATTTATCATTTTTAACAATGAATTAAAATATATGTTCTTTATTTTTGACCCTTGCTTTTCAGCCACTATGCAGTTTGCTAATTGTGTTAATTAAGTATTTTCATTATTTAAATTTTTAACATAATTTAGATTGCGATACGTACCTACTTGTTTAACCTTGTTTTGTTCATGACACAACAGGGTTTAATGACAAATAAACATGCTCATTGATAAAAGTGCAAACGATAGATAAGAAATTAAGTTTCGAAAAACAACGCTGTTTTTCGAGAGCAGATGTTTCGTTGACTATGCTGGAGTATTAAATTAATTTAGTTTGTTAATATTTGTGTAAACGAGATATTTGATGTAATTAATTTGGTCAGGAGTTGAAGAAAGAGATCCTTCATAAGTTTCGCTAAATTTTAACTAAATTTAATTAAAGGTACAAAGTGCAGGTATCCTTTGGTTAATAATGAGGAAGTGGTAGTTTGAATATAATGAGTGGGGATTTACTACTGCATGTGTGTTGTTACGTGCTATGATGTAATACCAAGACATTATTGCAACATATTTGAACACAACCCGTACTGACTCATCGGCCCTTTAGATACAGAGAAATAAATAGAATATACGAATTCGATAGAAACAGGTGGTATAGTTTGGAATCCAGGGTGAGATTTTCGAGGGGTTGTAGTATTTTTTTATTTTATTGGTTTTATATGTATATCATTTAAAAAAAAAGAAGGAAATTCCCCAGAATTCCTTGCCGGTTCTTCCCTGGACAGGCTAAATTAGGCTCATAAGACTATATTGAATGAAGACATTTTGACCTTGACTTCAGTCTGGTACGACTTCAAAACTGGTTGGGTAGACTTTCACGTTCATGAGAATGGCATTCAATCAAAATATAATGGAATATATCAATTTAATCTGACTTAATTTAAACAGTTTCGTGTACAGTACAGCGGAGTGCGCGTGTATTTTGTACCATTGTGGTCATGCCAGGTAATGGTGAAAGTAGTACGGAGTTCGCAGGAAAGTCTTCTAAAGCGATCTCATAATTTGGTACCTGTCTATTATAGTATATTGTCTATTTCTACTAGGAGTCCTAGCCTGACCGTGGAGACTTTGCAATGCGTTTCATTTAAGAATTGGACTGTCCATAAAGGTTAGCGGAGCGATACGACTTCGGGACGAGAGTCCATTTCTGTCTAAAAGACAAACAAAGTTTCTTTGCAAATCTTGTTGCGAAATTGCACGGGCAGCGGTGATCGCTTACCATCAGGTCGACCTGGCCGATGTCGAGAGTGAAGAAATACATATATCGATATATCGGTGTTTATAAAAACATCAGCAGTATCGGCTTCGAAATATCGAAGAGAAAATATCGATATAATCGAGACATCTCGATGTGACTATATTTTCTGTATGGATAGAGAGAAAGAGATATAATGTGAGAAAAATAGGGAAAGAGGAGGGGCAGAGGGGCAGGAGGGTGAGAAGAAGTTAGACGCCGTGCTCTCTTTAGACACTTACCTTCAGTACGACGATGGAGTCCGCCATCTCCGTGGCCATCTCGTCTAGTTTGGGCCCGATCATCTTGCATGGCCCGCACCAGGTGGCCATGAAGTCGATCACGACCAGCTTCTCGCCGGCCTCGGCGAGCCTGTTCTTCAGGTCCTCTGAGTCCTTGATGTGGATCGACATCGCTGCTGCGGAAGTAAGGACGACGTCCGTTTAGTTAAGGCCGAAATGCGGAATGCCGTATTGGCTCGCTGATAACAATTCGCCAAGATCAACCGCCACTTCTAAACTAGAGAGGTCCAACGTCTCCCAACAAATATAGCATTTCGATTGTATCACCAACTGGCCATAAGGCGATAAAATATCGATGAAAATTGGAGTAACTCTCCCTAATAGCATTTTCAACTCCTTTATACCTTCAGTCTTTACTAAATCTCTATGCGCCGCATATAATGATTCTTTTGATTCTGTAGGACATTTCTATGTAGGCACAGATTTCGCTGGACAAATAACGAGATGCAGAACAATCATCCGTTGGTCACCCAAACCTTTCGCCGGATCGAATCCACGACTCGTAATCACTACGCGAATCTACCTAATGATTCACAAATAATATTAACACTGTAAAACGCTAGATAGAGCGTAACAGTCTATATTGGTCCCACACTGCTGGGCAAAGGCCTCCTCTGTACAGAGGGTATTAGGGCATACTCCACTACGATATTTCCTTCACCGCTGAGATGAGAAGGTGATAAGGCAGCGCATAAAATTAAAAAATTCATTGGTGCCGACACCGTGGATTGAACTCAAGTCGCTAGAGAATACTGTATTAAAATCGAGCGCCCGGACAATGCTATCACGGCTCATATGAGAAATAGATTGACGCCGAAATGTTCGTGCGGTCTGTGGGTGAGGCCTATGTTCAGCAGTGGAATTGAACATGCCAAAATAACGATGACGTTGATGACTGACGCTAACTACACTTTGTATCTTTATATATATTATTATACTGTACGTGTGTTTTGTCACTGAAGTGCTCCTAAACGGATGGACCAATTTTAATGAAATTTTGTGGTCTTCAGGCCGATTCGAGAATGGTTTAGATTCACTATTCGGTCCACTAATTTTTTTTTTCAGTTATTCTCGGATTTAAGTCGTGTGTGCGGAACAACGTCTGTCCGGTCTGCTAGTATACATATATAAACTAGACGTCTGTCCAATACTTCAGACGAAGGTCTCTGAAGATGTTAAGCGAACACTTCACTGACGCGAAACACCATTTCGATAGTGTAAACAAGGAAGCAACTGCCAGTAACTAGTAGTAATTACATTTATCTATTTCGTGCATGCCGTTTATAAAAAACTAAAGACTGTTACTAAAGATAAAATCGTTAAACACCAACGTAAAATTAAACGAAATTTTTTCCTAAGTTCACGCACCTACTGTATATTGGTAAACAAAATTATTTTACAGTTTTTATCGGTGTTAATTCTCGACTTTTCTCAGTGAATGTTAATTGACAGGTTGTAAAACAAGCAAAAAAAAAAAAAAAACTATAATCTCGACTGCATTAACAGTACTAACTAATCATCTAGAAATAACATACCATATGCCGCTTTTTTTTTTTAATTTAGAAGGTAGAATGAGAACTGGCTCATCAGCTGATGTTCACTCATTCTACGGGTTTCAAACTCCCAAAATCCAAAAGATAGTGGAGCTTCAATTGCGTTTAAAAACATTAATGCATACGTGATGCGATTACATGTTAAGGCCTTAAGTTAAAATTTTGAAAATATATGCGGAGAAACACCATACTGCTAAACAGCACCATCGACTGACACACATTCCGAAGCATTTGCGAATTATAGTTCGACATTCAAATACGCTTTAGTTTTTTTTTAGGCACACGTATTCCCACGAATGGAGTCACCGGCTAATACTTATAAAAAACAAAGACGTAGACCGTCTAAATTATCTGCAGTCATCGCTATTTCCAACATCACAGACACTAGAAATCCAATGACACAGCACTTTGAACTTATCATTCCGAATTTAAAACCGTTCGCAATCGATTCTAAAGATTTCCGCCAACACACAAACGTAACTGCTTTGTAAAAAAGGTATAATAGAACACCGTTCGAAAAAAGAATACTGACCGCAAAGAATTTACTCACCTTAAGTAAAATTAAAAAGTATAAATAAAATAAAATAAAAAAAAATCTTTGGTTTTTTAATCTAAACAAACGACCGGCGCGGAGTCCGATAAACGACTGTGGACCGACGCGGTCGGACGTCTCTTAAATGAAACGGCGTATTACTCATTCGATGATGACGTCTCCCTTTTTTTTTAACGACTCCGAGGAAATGGACTCGCGATGAGTCCACAGCACGATTAATAAATCCGTTTGGCATACGCTGTCCATGGACGTAATGTATTAGGGCTCAATGAATGATAAATTGAACTGTGCCTGGCCATACTACACGACAGAGCTTTGCGCGTCTAGTCATATAGGAAATTGGTAGTTGGACCTATTTGACTGTTGGCGTATTTACGACTCGCAGATAGAGAAAAATCGACTACACATGGGAGCCGGACACTGTATGTTTGGTATTTGCATTACTATTAGGCCACAGACGTGGGAAAATAAGGCAATAGGTACTATCATTGTTATCGTTTGCCGAATACGTCGATTCTTTACCGAAACGGCGATACGAACGGTCACCAATGGACGCTTGTTGCTAAACATCGTGTTCCAAGCAGCTCTTGATACCCGATGTAATAGTAGAATAAAAGGCGGGAATATCTTAGTGACGTTCTTTTTAATGTTATTTAGAAACAATGAAACAAACTGTTTTTAAAATACTTGACATACATGAATGAAAAAAAAACCTGGTTTTCCCGCGCAAGTGGAGAGGGTCTCAAGCCTTCATTTAAATTTTTTTATAACCTTTATTTAGAAAAAAAAAAACGTTTTATAAATTAATGAGAGATTTATATTTAATTTTTTTTTCTTCACAAATACCACTAGTTTTAGGGTTTAATTTATAATCGACATACTTCATGCCAAAACTTCTATGGCGCATTATTCGATAAAAAAAAATCTAAATGCAGGTCGATCAAACTCATCGAATTCCTTGTGTAGAACCATCTGGAAGTTTAAAAGGGGACAGTGTATAATGACTAAGCAACTGGCACGTTGAAATCGATCGATATAGTTGTAAGGTCTCGTCCAGTGACCAGGGAATCCAATATGGAAGCGGAAGTTTTTGCAGTTATACTTCTTATTTCGCGTTTGGAAAAAATTATGAGAGTATCACTACGTAGTATAAAACAAAGTCCCGCTGTCTGTCTGTCCCTATGTATGCTTAGATCTTTAAAACTACGCAACGGATCTTGATGCGTTTTTTTTACTACATAGAGGAAGGTTTAGGTGATTCAAGAGGAAGGTTTAAATTAAATGTATAATACATTGCACCCGTACGAAGCCGGGGCGGGTCGCTAGTAATTTACACGATGCGCGCGCACACCGACAGCCGAAAAGCGACATGATGAACTTGGTTGCGAAGCGAGGAACTTCACGGTATTACTATGTCAACCAATTAAATCAATAACTACTTCTTGACATTTAACTACTATTTAACCGTTATAAATTGCACTTAATGTCTTTTAACAAACAAAGAGTGGTGGAACAGGTGTAAGTTTTTTAAATTATTTTTCTTTTGTTATGCTCAAGAAGTATAACTTCTTGCGTGTACATAAGTGTTAGTGTACATAAGTACACACATCATTTTTTCTGTAAGTGGGCCTTGAGTTATCACACGTGTTTAGCCTTATGCTTTTTGTTTTTTGTTTTCGGTTTTCCCATGGGTTCAGTTCGACAAATATCCCGCTGCGATAAGGCAAAGAGGAAAATCGTAAATACGTGCCAGACTTTATGACCCATTTGAAATTCCTCGATGGACGTAAATACGGCAAGTTACGATCCTTTATCGATAAAGTTAAATAAAACCGTTTTCATTTTACAAATTCATTGATATTTGGTAAATTTGTATTTTCTCGCAGTGTGAATTAGGAGTGAGCTATACTAGGTTAAATCGAGTACCTGTAACTTAAAAGTAAAAGTGACAAATACCTGTTACAAAATAACAGCCTGTTATATCATACTATGTTGTGACAACTTGTGTAACTGTTACTCTATGGTGACGTCCCTACTTCTCTTTCTAACAAAGCTATAAGAGCAATGCAAGATAAAGAAAGAGCCTGTGACAGTGAACGTGTTCAGTAACACCTGTGACAAGGTGTAACAGTTTTTATCTCTTTTAACTAAGGTAACATTCGTAAGCATGAAAAGCTTGTGACAGCGTGTTAGGGAACAATTTGCGTAGAACAGGAACGGTTATTTAAGTTTGTTCTTAACAGGTATAGTCTGTTATCTCGAGATACCTGTTATATTTACCTATTACGATAAATACGCCTCACTCCTAGTGTGAATGTTAAAAGCTTGTGACAGCGTGTTAAGGAACAATTTGTGTGGAACAGGAACGGTTATTTAAGTTTGTTCGTAATAGGTACAGTCTGTTATCTCGAGATACCTGTTATATTTACCTGTTAAGATAAATACGCCTCACTCCTAGTGTGAATGTTAAATGCTTGTAGACTATTTATTTGAACAGAGAGACATTGGAGAAAAATTTCATTGTGTTGGCTGGTCGTTACAATATAAATGATTTTATTTTAATAATCGTATTGTGACAATTTACTATAAGAACAATGACATTTTTAACGGCCCCTTGTGGAAACCAACAAATATTTCATAATAAGCCATTATTTGGTCAAGCATTCAAATTAACAACGCCGTTAAAAACTGTAAAAAAATATTACAGACCATTGATAGTTTTATCAGGCACTAACCGCATGACCATCGAAATATTCACAAAAATTATGAAATTGTCAAAACAAAATGTCATCGTTAAGAGATATTTAAGTTTTAACATATTTTTGTGGCTTAATATGACGATGCAGCATTATTTAAGTTAGCCTTAAAATATTTTCCGTACCGTGGTGACACTTTCAAATTGAAAACATTGTTCACTCTATGCAATTTTTTTTTTATTCGAAAAGTTGTCAAACGAGCAGACGGGTCACCTGATGTTAAGTAAATACCGCCACCCATGGACATCT